TTCTTTAGTGGCCCACTATTTAATCTGCCTACGCTTACAAGGTTTGTTTGACTCATGTTTGCTATGATACTTAATCTATAGTTGAGGTTCAGTAAATGCTTTTTATGGAATAATTTTGTTAGTGATGATAAGAAACCAATTTTATATGTTAAATCATTGCAAATGTGTGCAAGTATTGCCACACCTACCAAAACCTTTTTACTAGATGAGTCATTTATATATGATAGATGAAGGATAAGATTTAAAGTTCTAGAATTCCTGTATACTTTTAGTCATTCATTATATAATACTCATTTATTGGGTCCTCAATCTGCTAGTTTAATTTCATGATTAATTCTAATATTTCTCTGAAGAAACACTAATTTTATTGAACATCCAAGTTCTCATTTCTGAATAAATTGCTTGATTACAACTTCAGACCTCTTTATAATTTCATTTGTCAACCTCAGAACTAGTCAGGAAGGGAATCCATTGTTAAAGGTAATTAGAGACTTCCAGCAAGATGGCAAGACTAGGCAGATACAGGCTACACAGACCCTCTACAGCAAAGACACAAGAGACCAAACAAACCAGATGTGGTTGGTAATCCTAGAACACTGAACTTTAGAAGGTAGAGTGGACAAGTTGATAGAGGAGGCCTGGTAGGGTCTTGGTTATATGTTGAGGTACTAACTTGTAGGTTGACAGTTCCAAATTACCAACCACTCGGAGGGAGAAAAATGAGATTTTCTACTCTCGTAAAGAGTTACAGTCTCGGGAACCCACATGGGCAGTTCTACCATAGGGAGTCAGAAATGACTTGATGGCAATGAGTTTGGTTTGTTTTGAGGAGAGAAGGTCCCTGGTTACAAGTTGGGCTGCTAACCACAAGGTCAGCGGTTCGAAACCATGAGCCACTCTGAGAAAGATGCAACTTTCTCTTACAGTAGATTTACAGCCTTAGAAACCCACAGGGGCCATTCTATTCTGTCCTGTAGGGTTGTTATCAGTCGCAGTCGACTTGATGACAGTTTGGTTTAAGGAGAAGAAAAAAATGAACAAAAGTTACATGGGAGACGCAGGAATTATTGGCTATCCTGACTGGGCACAACCATCTTGAATTTTTACATTCCATTGAGCTTGCAGCCTGGCATACTGGTGGCTTGCAGTGAGAAAGATGGGCTCCTCCTTTGTTTCCCTTACCCTTCTGGTTACCAGAAGCATGGCCAGCCACCACCCTTACCCATTTAGCAACTGGTGATATCCCATCCCCCACTCCCTTCCAAGCACACAGCCCTGTTCTGCCTGAGGCTGGAGCTAGGTCCTCTTAGATGGAGTGCTGAGTACATCGACACTGGAGTCTGTAGGCACATGGACTTTCCCCTGCACCCATCATACCAGCAGAGCATGCAGTGCCATGTCCCAGAATGGGCATCAACTCTTCACAACCAGCCATCCTGCCCCCAGCTGCCCCTTGGACCCAAATGAATTGCTTCTAGGAGCAAGCGCCCTAACCTCAGCCACCACCTGAGCTACCACAAAATACTTTTGTATCAGGTACGGTGGGCCCACACTGCATGCAGGCTGACAAGAACTCTGTAGAGGGCCAGCAAGCCCCCTCCCTGCCAAGCAAGCCTGGCTGCAGAGTTGCCAACCCATCCTGAATGTCATGCCACGCACAGTTAACCCCTTGTTTGTTTGTTTGTTTGTTTGTTTTTCCTCATCCTCTTGGTTTATCTTTTTATCCTTCCTCAGCTTTCCTTTTTCCTCTTTTTTGATCTGTTATTTTTTTGTATTACTATTCTTTTTTTACCCCTTCCTAATTTTGGTAAATTTTATATTTTTCTTTCCCTTTTACTCCTCTTTTTGTCTACCTTTTTAAAATTTCTTTTTCAGTTATTCTTTTTTTCTTGCTATTTGTGACCTGCTTTCCTTTGCTTATTTTTCTGTTTCTTTATTGTTTTTTTCTTATACCACCCAATGGGAGTCAGTGGCCACACTCACATGACCTAGCCACACTTTAACTCTGGTACTCAGACCAACTGTGCTACAGAATAGCAAAGAGAACTGCGGTTAGTGCTGCTAACTCCAAGGTCAGTAGTTCACAACCATTAGCCACTGCTAGGGAGAAAGAGGAAGCATTCTACCCCCCAAAGAGTTACAATCTCAGTTCTACTTTGTCCCATAAGGTGTATTGGAATCAACACTATAGCAGTGAGTTTGGATTTTTTGTTTGATTGTTGGTGACCAGATAGTATGTCTTTTTATACTGACAGACCTTGTTTTATCCACCATCGAGTCTCCCATGTCGTTCTCAACTTTTATCTCGGTTTCCTTTTTGCTTTTTTTTATAGTAGTGCTTTAATAAATAAATTATTAGATGTTTAATTTTATTTGACTATAAAGATAATTTTCACTTTCTGAGTTACATTACAATAGGCAACTCTGTTAGAGCTCTCGCGAGGGTTTATTAGATGTAGTATTGCAGGTCTTTTATTGCTAATTCAATAAATATTTTAGTGTATTCCTTGAACAAGGCAAACTTTATCTTGAGAGGCATGATTATCATTACAAGGAATGATTTTCAAAATTGGCTTCTATTATGTAGAGGTTTTCACTTGTCTGTAGTATCGTTGTGTTTTGGAGAGGTGAGTTTCCTTGTGGGGGAAGAAGAAAGGTTGCTACGCAACAGTCTAGGCAAAAAGCCTGGTAGCATTTGGCTAGAATTCAGTGTTGGTGTTACTCCAAGAGGGTTAAAATATTACAAGAATGTTCATGTGTTGAGTTCTTGTGGCCAGCTATACGCAGTAATTGTGAGGTGTGCTCATGATGTACAGGCAAGGAAACGGAGGCTTAGGGTTTTATGGCTTAGCGTGGTCAAACGAGCCCTTCTCATGTGACTGCAGTCTGAGTACTGAACTATTAGATAACACTGGCCCTCACAAAAAAGAGTTTAAGCTCCCTTAATTTACTTCTGATTTCATCCAGATAAATCTCATTACTAACGAGGTGGGTCTCAGCAGGTTGCTAGAATTAAATTGAGGTAATTTATAGGCAATTTCCTAGTTCAGTGTCCAAGGAGCAATTGATAGCCTCTCAGTAATGGAAGTATAGGTATAGCATTCTTAAATATACCGTTATCTCATTATATTTAGGTTTGGTCCCCCAGCTCTGGTGAGAATTATTACTGTACTTTCTTGATTCTCCGCCTGCTGTCCTGTTTTTCCTTCTCTTATTTCTCCTTCACCAACCTTTTCCAGCCAGGGATCAGAGGTAATTACATCCCTGTAAAAAATTAACTATAGCTGATTTCTCATTTCTTTCAAAGTTGATACATAGGGCCAATCTAGATACAGAAGATATAAATTAATACAATGAATGCCTTAGGGTATTAAGGCTTAATTCTCAGTTGAAAATATAGAGGATGCTTAAGTGGCTCCTTTATAAGATTTTAGAACAAGCAGATCATTTGAAATATTAACTTATTATATTAGTCATAGGAATTACTCTGATATGGAAATGAGGCAATATGCTATAGAAGGGAACATTATAATTGCATCTCAACATGAGTTATATATATCAAACTTTTGTAAAGAGCAACCATTAACATGCATGTGCTTTTATAAAAGCACACTAGGTGTACAAACTTGAAGGAGGAGGTTATTGCTTTATAGTTTTTTAATTCAATTGAAAAATATCCCTCTCTAGGAAAATGGAAATTAAATGCCTTTGCATTTATTGTTAAAAGTGTTACTGTTGGTAATCCAGCGGCCATCAAGCTCAGAAGCAACAAAGCCCACATGGAAGAAGCACACCAGCCTATGCAACCACGAGGTGTCGAAGGGATCACAGACCTCTTTATAATTTCATTTGTCAACCTCAG